AAAAAAAAAAGTTCCTGATTTTCTAGTGTTTTGCATATTTGTCACGCTTACATTTTTCAGATCATCAGACAAATGTTAATATCAGACAAAGATACCCAGAGTAAATACAAAGTGCAGTTTTTAGATGATGATTTCATTGATTGAGAGAGAAACGTCCAAACTCTCCTGGTCCTCTCCGAAAAAGTAATTGCCCCTCCTGCTAAACTATGAATTAACTGCGGTTAACCACATTTTGTGGAAAGATGAGTTCAGTTTTACTAAACACACTGAGGCCTGATTACTGGCAGACCTGTTGAATCCAGAAATCACTTTATTAGAAGCTGTTTGACAAAGTGAAGCAGGCTGAAAGATCTCAAAAAGCAACACATCGTGCCACCATCTGAAGAAACACCTGAGATACAAAATCCCTGACATCTATCAGTCTGGCAGGGGTTCTAAGGCTTGGGGACTCGATTGAACCACAGTAAGAGTCATCAGACACAAATAAAGAAAACTTGGAACAGTGGTGAACCTTCCCAGGAGTAAGCGGCTGACCAAAATTACCCCAAGAACGCAGCGACGACACATCCAAGAGGTCAAAAACAACACTGAAGAACTGCAGGCCTCACTTGTCTCAGTTAAAGTCAAGAGTTTATGATTCAACATTAAGAAAGAGACTGAGAAAAAATGGCCTCCGGGGGGGGGGGGATATCAAGGAGAAAAGCACTGCTGACCAAAAGGAGGATAAAGGCCAGTCACACATTCGCCATTAAAAATCTTGATGATTCCCAGGACTTCTGGAAAAAAAACGTTCTTTGGACTGATGAAACAAAGGTGGAACTTTTTGGGAAGGTGTCTGTCTGTTCTGCAGCAGGTAAATGATCCAAAACACACCAGAAAGTCCACCTCCGAATGCCTCATGAAAAACAAAGGGCAATTCACAGCAATTACAACTATTCTGCAAAGATGAGTGAGTCAAAAATCCTCCACAGTGGCAGTTATCGCAAATGCTTAATTACAGTTGTTGCCACTAAGGTTTGCCCAACCAGTTATTAGGTTAGGGGCTCAATCACTTTTTCTAACAAGGCCAATAAGGTTTTGATATTTTTCTTCACTTCCTTCACTTAAAAACTGCATTTTGTGTTTACTTGTGTTATATTTGATTATCTGAAACATTTAAGTGTCACAAACATAAAAAAAATAAAAAAATGGAATTTGTCACCAAAAACTGATGAAGACAAAGATTTCCATGCTTTAAACCCTGTTTGATCAGTGTATATACAAGATTCAGAATGTAATGTTTTTGGTTTATTTGTGTATTGTTTGTTTCCACCAGAGAAGAAGCTCAACTACCTGAAAGCTTTATCTAACATCGTCAATAAGCTGCCCAAGCAGGTTCAAGTCACTGAACTTCCAGCGGTGAGTAACACAGAGCAGCTCTGATGCTCGTAAGAAATGACTCGAGCTGGTAGGTGCCTGTAATCATCAAAGTCCTGTTCCTGTGCAGCTTCTTTCTCTGCTGCTGGAAGCCTTGTCGTGTCCTGATCAGGACATTCATCTGACAACTCTGTCCTGTCTGGAGCCCGTCCTCGTCAACCCACCACAAGTTCTCATACAGCAGCTGGAAGCTTTGGTCAACAGGCTGCTGGCCCTCCTCTGCAGTCCAGCTATGGTTAGTTAGATCACCACAGTCTGTTCACTAACTATTCAGTCTCCTCAAGATTATAAACTGTTGTTTTGTTTTAGTATTTAATGCTGTAAGTGCTCTACAAAAGCCTACCTTCATTATTGGACTGTATAAGTTCATTAAATGATGACAGTGTTTTTTCCTTTACACTGCAGAGTGTACGGATTGCTTCGCTGTCCTGCATCAGCGCTCTTTCCTACTTCCCTGTACATGAGGTAAAACGTACCATCTTTGAATACTTTGGTTTCAACCTCCATAAGATTTTTTTTAATTCCTAATTTGTGTGTTTTATCTTTAACTGTTTGAAAAACTTTAAATTCAACCAGTTTATTGCAATGTGTTTTTGTTTTACAAAAGCTGAATAAGGACTCACAAACATAAACTACGGTTCCTGAACATGGAAACATTTAGCAATCAGACTGAATTGACCAATCTGACTAAATGCAGTCAGTTATATTGAAGCTAATTACTAAAGGAGTCTTTATGATTGTTGGATTTCACCACAATGTTTGAGTCAGAGAATTACAAGCTACCAATTTGTCATCGTGTGACACTATTGATCCTCATAAGTCAAATTTCTGTATTTCCCCTCCTGGACATAGTGCTGTTTATCAATGGCATTTGTGCTTGGTTGCCAAAAGGACCGTTAAATGTATTTGAGAAGCTCAGCAGTGATGTTTCTCTCTAGAAATCATGAGTTTTTTTGTGAGCAGCTCCATGGTGGGACCTGTTTTCTGTCTACTGTGTGCTTAAACCAAAGAGAAACATTACAGCTCAGCCGAGATGAGCACCATTAATATTTAGATCCTGTCACCCACTCATGAGCATAACAGGATTTCGTGGTGAACTGCCCCTTTAAGGCCTTAGAAGAAGAGTCCGTGATTCTAATCGTCACTTTTCCCAACATTTTTTCAACAGGAAACTTGTATAAAAAGTGTAATGTTAACATATTAATTGCTTTACCAATTTTTTTCCTCCTATCTGTGTGTGATTTAAGGTGTTGCCATTTCGGGCCCGAGTACTTCGAGCGCTCGCCAAACCTCTGGATGACAAGAAGAGGCTGGTGAGGAGGGAGGCGGTTCAGGCCAGAGCACAGTGGTAAGAACTACCTTTTCCTATTAAAGATGGACTCCTCTAAAAAATCCAAAAACAAGTGATTTATCTAGAAGACACATGTCAGCTTGTGATTATACTGATGTTACTCTAACTCTTTTCCTAGTCCTGTGAATCTTGCTAGCATGTAAACAGGTGCCATAGCATTTAGTAAAGCATGTGTTTATGGCTATTTCTCTAACTGTCCCTGTAGGTTCCTCTTAGGAAGTCCTGGTGGAAGATGATTTCCCCCCTAATCACCACCAAATTACAGATACCAAGTAGCAGAGCTGTGCTGCTCACTCAACGGCTCACCCTCTGCGGGTAAGCTCTCCAGCAGCCTCCACCCTCGAGGATCTCCCAGCTTCCTTCTGCCCCTCCTACTCTTCCCCTTTATACTGAAATGTTTTAACTGTCTGTATTTTCACAAACGCACAAGTAAGACTGTATAGACTAACGCACATAAATCTGATGGCAGAGCTTAGTCAAAAGAATGAAATGAGTGTTTTGTTATTATGCAGCACGCCTCATGAATATTGTTGTCCTGTTGGACCAAACAGTCACATGAAATGAGATGACGTCATTTTGATTGGGAAATATTTCACTGCTGAAGGTGCAAAAATTTCAAAATGAGATTTTAGGCGTATTTATATTTTAGGTTTTACAGCTGGTAAAATCATATATGCATTAAGGTCATAATGAAGGGACACTTTGGTCAGCTAACAAAATAACAAAAACCACTTACAAAGATCATGTAATCATTTGTGTTTCTTCAGAATGTCTCAAATCTAGTGTTACTGTCCTGAGATCATGAACATCTGTCAGTAGGCACCATAATGAGGTAGTGCCAGGGAATTGGATTTTTCAGCTCCTGTATAAAAAGAAGCAATTTTTTCCCCCACTGCATATAAAAGCAGAGAGCGTGACGCTGACAAGGCGTCGGTGTGACGCTAGATCTGCCTCGATGCCTTTTAAGTAGCAGCCATTATTTCAGCAGATTTGAGAACTGTAACGTAGCAGAAACTTGGATACTTAACAGTGGTTAACACACTGTGTCCCAGCAATTTCACACTGCAGACAAAGCAGGCACCTACTCCAGTCTTGGAACCACTTTTCTTCCAACCCCCACAGCAGTGGAAGACACATCAGTGACCTTTTTACACTCATGTGAATGTATACCTGAGCAGTGACGTCTCTAACCGATGTTGAGACTTGCTAGAATATGAATGTGCCAACTGTTCATGGATCGAGCGTGAAAGCTTCCGCTGACTGAAATGTTAGGATACTTTTTACAGAATGAAATATCCGTTTAGGTTAATGTACTTTTGTTTGGATTGTAAGTTATGTGAACGTCATGTTCAACATCTGCCTTGTATTCTGTTAATATTAAATCGTAAATGTTGGCTGACTTTGGACCTCACATCAACTTATGCCAAGAAAACAAGACAATATTTAAAATGTCTAACTTAAGATGTCATTAAACCTTTGTTTACACTGAAATTTCACTCGTGTCTGTCTGAATATCGTCACCTCAAAACGGAAACACGTCAACCCAGAAATATCAAAACCTTGTTTTATTTTAAGGCGGCGAGATAAATGAAATCAGAACACAGCTCCAACACTATCACAGCTGGATGTCTGTTTCTATGGCAACTGCAGAGCTTCCAAAACCATCATGAGGTTGCCGATATGAAAATGTGGCTTTAGGGGAGGAAAAAAAAAATTAAATGACAGAATAATATTTCAGTGTCTGAGTCACATATTTCAAGGCTGAATAACCAAACAAGGCACACAACCACATCTGTGTTTAAAGTTCTCTGAAATCAAGAGCCGTGCAGTTGGGTTTTTCACTCGTCTTTGGCACCAAGAAATGAGTTCAGGTCAGTGGCTCCCAGTAAAGCCAGGGGATGGTTTTTGAAACACGTGTAGAGTAGTCGGTATTAAAAACAACTTACAAATAACAATTATTTACATACTAACACAACACTGCTTAAATAATGTTTTTACGATTTGCCTCCCACAGCTATCTTCTGTTATTTTGAAGACGCCGATCCTTAAACAGAGCTGGAGATTGATACAGTCTCAGCTGCTAATGGTGCCGTGTTTTGCACTCTTATCACTAATTTATAAAAAGCACAAAGGTGGCACGCTCTCTTTTACAAGCTAAAATCAGATTGAGGGGAAATGTGCAAGTCTGTTTTACAGCATGAACCGAGAAGAAGAGTCTGCTGTAAACGGTCTGCCGACATGACTTCCAGGTCTTCACTTAATAACGATAAAATAGGTTTTTTAACGTGCTGTACTGTATGCAACACATAGCACCATTAACAAGCTTTAACTTCGGCTCCTGTGATGGTGCCAAACCACACCATGTAACAGAATCCCACAACATTTCATCACCTCTTCAATAAAAGTTGTGTGAACGAGGCATTACTGAGATGCTGACCAGCAGCATCCATGAATCAGATCAGTCGACAGCTCTGCAGTCACAGCTTAGTCTCACTGTACAATGCTGGAAAAGTGACAGTTGGATCTAAGAAGTTGAGACACTCCTGTGTTTCTCCACTTTTATCAGTGCTGATACAGACACAGCAAAAGGCTGCTGATCTGTGTAACCACAGTCTTTTCTTCTTTGCTGGTTATAAATACAGGTTTGAAGTTTCTTTTTTTTTTATATATATATATATGGTACGACATTAAAAAGCTGAAAGTCAGATGGCCATGGGGTCTCTCCTGGCGAAGGTGCAGTCCCACACGATGCCGTCTCCGCAGGGAAGATGGCTGGAGGGTAAGAGGACCCGTGTGAGCCAGTGACTGAGGAACAGAAGAACAGATGGCATGAAATGTGACTGAAAACAAAGGATGACAAAGCTGTGATCTTTTGAAGGGGACACAACTGATCATTTCAAAAATCATACATACAACAGTGGTAATTTGTGTCCCTGCTTTTCAGTAAGCACAACACTGAAAGAAACCTGCCAGCTGGCTTTGCATGAAAACCATCAAATGTGTCAATTTAATATAAAAATATTTTCCTATTCTTTTTCTTTATGCAGTTAGAAAAACAGGTGGAATAATAGTTTGTATTGAGCACATGATCCCAGCTATGACTCATAAGCTCTCTCTAGATGGAATACTTGCACATATTCATCAAAAGCTGAAGCAGTGACGGAGCTCACCTCCTCTTCTGCACACCAAACAGTAGCTTCAAGTTGTTCATTTTACCGCGATGATATGGATTTCGGAACACCTGATTAGGAAAAGAAGAAAACAGGATTTTCAGAGACCCTCGATGAGTTTGAATTTTGTTCCTATGCAGGATTCATGTCTGGTGAACTTTAACTGGTTTGTCCAATAAAAGACTAAACCTTTGCTCATATATAGCAACTGACTCTGCACAGGAGTGCACGTACCTTTCCTTTCTCCTTTAATCTTCTGGCTTCTTTGCGGTTGATGTGCCGCTCTATGCTGGTTTCTCCTCTGCTGATAAGCATGGCGTGCCACAGGGTGAGTCCACCCAGAGCGACTGCCACAGAGCTGCAGGGAAGAGGGAGAAAGGGCATATTACAATTTGCACTATACAAGTGGCATTATGGACTTTTTGAAAAGGTAAAGTGTCTCACACCTGGTCAGCACCCAGAGGAAGATGATGCTCTTATGAGCAGTGGTTTCTCTAAAACTGTAGTCCGGAGGAGGGGTCTGATAGTAGGTCTGAGGTGGACAGGAAGGACAGTTAGTAGTTTCCAAAGTTTGTATTTTGTGCTGAACTGCTCCTTTAACGTTACTATCCAAAGCCTACAGTTTTGTTTACCAGCTGGCACCCTTGAGGTCCTTAATCAGAGTAAGAATGAAAGCAGAAGGTGTTTCCCTTTGTTGTTTGTTACATGAGCTCAAATTTTGCAAATCATGCTTTACTGACAGATGCAAATTATTTCCTCATAGCTCCTCACCCAAACTGTGCAGAGGGGTAGTGTTAATAATACCTAGAAAAACCTGCTTAAAGGAATATGTCGTGTCAGAATGGATCTCAGTTGAACTGGAACAATGAGATGCAGCTGCTATGACGAAAACGCCACCCAAACATATGGATGGTTGAATCTTTCCTTATTGAGCCTTACCTCTACAGCGTCGTAGGCATCCAGAAACAAGTTCCTGCTGCTGATGCTGCAGTAGATACAGCCCATGGTCATGTAGACGCAGAAGGAGAAGAAGTAGCGATGGTTGAAATGTCCCACGCAGTTATTCAACCAGGCTGGAAAGAGCTCAGTTCAATACGTGTAACAAGCGGGAACACCAGGAGACACCAAAACAAAAAATGAACAGAATAAAAGTCATTTTCATGAGTTTTTCCTCGCTCAAAGGATACGGCAGTGGTGGTCCATCTTCAAAACACACCTGCAATATAGCAAACATTTTAATATGATAAAAGAAAACAAACATATAATATAAAACACGCCAACTCTCCACATTGGAACTACGTGAAGAACTTACACGTTGCAGATGCTGCAGTGGTGTGTCCTCGGTGGTTTGGGAGTGATGCATTTCTTACAGATGGACACAGAAGGGAAGGGACTTTTGTCCTAAAATAGAAAAAAAATGCAGCTTGACAAAAGCTCTTCTGTCATCTTCAGAAAATACCACAGCCTGTACATAAAAGATGGAATGATGGCCCGCTGGGTCTGAGAAGTGACACATAAACCTGCATTCTTTCTAACGACCATCAGGGGCAGTTCCTCTGCTTTTAAAAAGTCCAATTGTATAAGTGTTTATAAAAAAAAACACTTTACCTACTTCTCACTTGGTTTATGACCTTAGTAAATTATTTCACAGGTTTGATGTCTTTTGTTACAATGTTATGCTTTGTGAAAAGGTTTTTGCCTTTTCTGATTTCTACATTTTTTGACTATTTGAATATTTCAGATGAAACAAATTTTAATATTAGACAAAGGTAACCTGAGTAAATACAAAACGCTGTATTTAAAGTCAAGATTTCATTCATTAAGGAAAAAAAAGGTCACTCCAAGAGTGCAGCAACGGCTCATCCAGGAGGTCACAAAAGAATCAGAACATCTAAAGCAGACTTCAACTTGTCTCGGTTAACCCTTTAAGACCTACCATAGAACCAAGTCCGCCAGAGTTTATATTATATTTTTACATGTTGTGCCATTTTTGGGAGCATTTCAAGTTGCTATACATCAATACAACCATTATAGCCCAAATTTTAATAATATGTCTGCATTAAGTGCATAGTAATTCCATAAATTGCAAAAAAGTGCAATAAACTACAAAAAAAATCGAAAATCTTTTTTGTTTTTTTAACATATATTTCTAGTTAGAGAAACTTAAGAGGCTTATCCCTCAAAACTGTAAATACAAAAAAGTTGCACAAAATAGTTTCCCACCACAGGAAAGTTATTTTGAGTGTCTTCATAGTTTTATTTTTGAAATACACCAATTTTTATTTACTACAGGAAAAACGAAAATAAATATTATACTGCAAATTTGCAAAAAAAACAGCATATGCATCAAAATAAACTATTTCCAGCAGTGCAATATGACTTCTAAGCATCCCAGAAACGACACAGAAAGTCATAAAGTCAAACATAACTTTTAAAAACACCAGTATAGGCTGATGGGGCTCTGAAGGTAAAAAACTACATTTCCGAGAAAACCGTCACTTCCGGTTTCGGGCAGGTAATGGCGGACGTGCGATAGTTTGCGCTGATGATCTATTCTAACATAGGAAGTGTTACGAACAGCTGATCGGATCGGTAAAGCGTGTTTCTGGAATATTGTGTTTTTATTGCTGCAAGTGGTTTTTATGCCATTTTTGCAAAGCTATATGTGGAAGGAAACTGTGACCTAGGACAAGCTGATGGCATAAGATGTAAGTACAACTCCTCTGGTTTCATATGCAAAAAAAATTATTGCGCTAGCTTACCTGGTTGCAGTTCTACCGGGATTTAAAAATAGCTACGCAAAACAGAGCGTGCCCGCTCTGACCAGCTTTAAAGGGTTAAAGTCAGAGTTCATGATACAACAATAAGAAAGAGATTGGGCAAAAATGGCCTCCACGGGAGAGATCCAAGGAGAAAACCACTGCTGATCAAAAAAGAACACAAAGGCCCGTCTCATATTTGCCAAAAAAACATCTTAATGATCCCAAAGTCTTTTGGGCAAATACTCTGATGAGACAAAAGGTTACATCTGACGTAAAACTAACACAGAATTTCTAACCATCAGTTAATTGCCTGAAGCTCAAGAACACAGCAGGACAATGGTAAACACACCAGCAAGTCAACCTTCGAAAGGCTCAAAAAGACAAACTGAAGGTTTTGGAGCGGCCAAGTTAAAGTTTGGACTTCAATCCAATCGAGACGCTTTAGCATGACCTTAGCATGACCTTAAACCGACCGTTCGAGCTCAAAACCTGTGCAGTGTGACTGAATCAAAAGAATTCCTCCAAAGCGTTTAGAAAGCCACATAGCCAATTATCACAAATGCTTGACTGCAATTCTTGCTACAAAGGGTGGCACAACCAGTTATTAGGTTTAGGAGGCAACTACCTTTCCACACAGGGGCAGGTAAGTTTGGATAACTTCTGCCTAATTAAATAAAATCATTTAAAAAAATTCATTTTCTTGGGTTATGTAACATTTAAACATGTAAGTATGACAAATATGCAAAAAAAACAACCTAAGAAATCAGAAAGGGGGGGAAATACTTTTGTATGTAGATTTTTACTTTATGATTTTATGATTTGTTAATATTCAAAAAGTAATTCAATTACAGTCTTTGAAATATAATCACCCTACCTCAAAAAATACCTACAAACCAACGCATAAACCAAAAAAGAAATGTTTTAAATGTTAAAAAGTATTCACATTTGTACTTAAAAAAATGTAAAAATCAATGATGGCAGCAGAATAAGTCACTATGTCAGCCTCTGGGGAGTGTGACTCCTACCTTTGGTGGGTGTCCTGGAGAGGTGGTGGTCGCTTTGTAATAATGGAACACCACCATAATGAGAAGCCAGTGGCCACAACAGAGGTGCCACACAATCCAGTGTGCAGGGTAAGTGCTGACGATCGTGGGCAGGACAAACAGGTAGACGATGACCACAACTGAGGATGTCAGCAAGACGACAAGACAGACAAACACCTTGGAGGGTAAGAGAAGGAAAAACGATTAAGGAAAGCAGCAGCAGGCGTGGGAATCAAGAGAGGAGGGAAGTGAGCTTACCACTCCAAACCAGTGGGTCACGTTGTCCACAATCCAATAAACGGGTTCAAAAGCACAGTCCAGCAGAGTGTCTGAGTTGGTGAGGCTGTTGAAGTACAGCGACTTGAGCAGGAGCTTGCTGTAACGCCACACCTCTGACAACCTGCCGCCGATCCCCGCTTTGGTACCCCCGCCTTGGCCCCCCCTCTGCGTGCGGCACAGCCAGCACCAGCGCAGCGCCAGTCGCATGGCTCGGGAGAGCTGCCACCTCCAGCTGCTGCTCACACGCATGCCACCACCGCCTCCTCTCCTACACACTCTGCCTTCTAAACACACGCAGACACACAGACACACAGACCAGCAGTTAGAAACACAGGCCGCATAAAACAGCAGCTCCTCGTAACGCAGCCTGACAGATGCGGAGCTTTCCATCGTCACCGAGTGCTTGTTGAGAGCTCCCAGTGTATCTGAGAAGGCAGGCAACAGGAAGACTAGTGAGCTTTATAGAGGACAAGGGATCCCTTTCCCAGAAAGTGTTCCCTTTCCCTAGAAAACACTGAAGTTACTCAAGTACAGTAACAGCATCTCCTGTGTGACATATGCCCATCAAAGCACACAAGGACAAGGGCTATCAGGTAAGGAGTTACGCCCATCAGCCCCTACAAATAAACTTCTCCTCTTAATAATTGAAGGCAAATCTTCATCTGCAGGCCAAAAACCTATTGGGGACTCTCAGGGGAGATGCAGATTGGTAACCTTATAAGAGGGAAACGCAAACGGACGTCTTAAGGAAAATAAAGTGGCCACCTGATCCTGGAGCATCGGGTCATGAAAGTGAGTATTGGTTACACAGATAAGACTTGTTCAGGTTCTCCAAAACAGGATGGCATTAATAATGAGAGCGCATCTCTCATTATTTACATTTAAAAGAAGATGAAAATAAGACGGGGCATCCAGCAACAGGTGACATGTACAGATCTGTCAAGTTTAACATAATCGCATAAGTCAGGGACTACATGTAACATACAGAAACATTAGACAAATTCTTGTTGAGAGGGCCTTTACTTCCTTTACTTCAGCAATAAAGAGAGCGAACACGATTTCTGGTTGTGTGACAAGTTGAACGAGTCTCACCACTGCACAGGAAGGCTGGTGGGCGTCTGAAGGGTGTTTGAAGGGCATAATATTAACGTGCATGGTTGTATCTGACAGACAGAAGGAGATCGTGCCACACAGATGGGGGATTCATGGGAGAAGAAGCAGTCTCTATGGCAACCTGCTGCCCTAAATCTGGACTTAGATAGAATAAGGTCACTACCTCACAGTCTCACTATAATAAGCTTTACTTTGTCCTCTTCCCCTGCACTGTCTTCTGTGAGTCAGAGAGGAGGAGGGGGGATTGTCTGATATTTTTCACTTGTAGTCAGCAGCTTGCTTTTTCATGTTTTTGGATTCTGGATATTGGAAATGTTCAAAGAATATCATTCACTATTTCTGAAACGCATTAATTAAACACAGACACGGAGATAACCTCAAGTATAGCCCTGTCTTCAGTCCCTTTGATAGCAGCTTTAGTGACTGTGATGTGGTTCGCGCATTATTGATCATGCTGCTGGATGAAAGGTTTTTATTTCACTTCTTCAGCTTCAAGTTATAAAACTAATGGAGACTGTGAATCAGAGTCTGACTCTTTGCCACCTTCAGCTTGACATGAAGTGAGATCACAAGAACACTTTCGTGCTATCATATTATAAAAATCATCATACCAGCGTCTACACTGCGCTGCTGGATGAATGGAAACTGATGGATGTTTCACAGGAAGGTCTGGCTGAGTCAAATGAACACAAGAGGTCTCCACTTGGTCATCACTTTGACATGTAAGCCATACATTGTGCTCAGACCCCACCACAGTTCAAAGTTTATCAAATCACAGTTCTGCTATTGGTTTTAATGTTATTTATATATATATATATATAATGTTATAATATTTATAAATATATTATTTTATATAATATGTGTTTTTTTATTATTTTTTTTTTTTTTTTTTTTTTTTTTTTTTTTTTTTTTTTTTTAAAACAACAAAAAAACATGTTTCTCACAGTGACTGGTTATGACTGATGAAGTCTACATATAACCCCCACATGACTACAACCAGTTAGACTCGTGTCCATTATATCCAAACAGTCAGACATGTCACACTTTAACGCTAGCTGGCTAGCTGCTAGCTAACTGTAGCCGCTTCCAAACGCCAGCCTTACGTGTTTGTTTTAATAGAAACTATTTGCCGCCCCGAGCCAAACTTAACATCGCTAGACTGTACCTGGTCAGGAGAACTGGGCAGACAGACCTGCAGCACCACGGTCAGGTCATGGTTCGGCTGAACTGGAACCTGCAGCTACTCCTCTAACTGCAGCAATCAGACAGTAAGCGGCGAGACTCACGAAGAAGATCGTGTATTGACGAGATGAGTTGCTTGACAGCAGCAAAGCTGGCAGCTTGTTCTGTTCTGGCTTCTAGACTGGAGCGCTAGCGAAATATCTGGAAAATATTTGTAAGGAAAAGTGTGCCAGGAGTTGACAGAAACAGTCAGAATTATGGTAAAATCAGTAGCGTTAAACATAAAAAGTCGCTACCCGGTATATTGTTCCAAAGTGGCGCCTCCTGTCCATTTGTTCTCTTCTGTGGCGAAAGTGCGTCGAAAGCTCGCAATATATCCTGGGAAATGAAGTTGTATTTTGAGATAGTTCATTAAAATGCCTCTTAAATCACGCTGTCTTCGTAAAAAAATATAAATGAAACTTAAATACATATTCACAGCGGTATCCATTAAGTGTGGCGGCGATAGATATTTAACTAACCCCTCGACTGTGGAAAAAAACCACCCAAATTAAATTAACTTCCGAGCTGAGGCCTGAGGTGTCATATGATGCAGAAAAATGGCTGCAGTGCAGTGGTAAGATGTTGTCTTCTTATTTTACAAACGGTTTATTAACAACTTAAATCTTTAGTATTTAAACACTGAGCCACGCCTGAGCACACACGTGTAGCGTAGATACGATTGTCGTGCGTTTAATGTTCAGTTAGCGTCGTAAACTAAATGTCAACTTTTTTCAGGCTTGCAACATAACATTAAAGACGAAGAAGCTTTTTATGGTATTATTATGACTGTGACTTTGAATCAGACGCCTTCTTCGGTTACGGTGTAGATTTGGCTTATAACGACATTTTTCCCTCCTCGTCTTTTCTGACGATTTTTCACTAGTTCTGCATTTGCCTTGGGTCATTGTCACTGCTGGCCGCAGATACCTGGACCCTACAGAGATTGTACAGGTAGTCAAACTCCTCCAAGATGGCATATTAATACGTGCCACTGCCACAAGTTTTTGTATGTCTTCTAGCACAGTCTCAAGAGCATGGAGGGGATTTCAGGACACAGGATCGGAGAAGGTCCTTAACCAATCAGCAGGATCACTATCTGCTCTTTTGTGAGGAGCAGGATGAGAACTGTCAGAGCTCCAGCAGGACACTGGTGTTAATGTCTCTGATCAAACAATCAGAAACAAACTGCATGAAGCTGGCTTGATTGTCCAGCATGGTCTAGTGGGCCCTGTACTCACTGCACAGCACTGTGGCATTTACACTGGTATTTCCCATAGAGTACCAGACCTGGCAGGTCCACTGGCACCCTGTGCTTTTCACAGATGAGAGCAGGTTCACCCTGAGCACATGTGACAGGCATGAAAGAGTCTGTAGAAGTTATCGAGAACATGATGCTGTCTGTAATGTTGTTCACTGTGAGTGGTATGGTGGGTGGTGGCTCAGTAATGCTTTTGGGAGACATATACATGGATGGACGTGCACTCTAACTCTACAGGCAGTAACACCCTGACTGCCATCAGGTATCAAGATGAAACCTTTGAGCCCTACATTGGTGCAGTGGGTCCCAGATTTCTCCTGGTGCACAACAATGCCCAGCCTCATGTGTTGAGAGTATGCAGGCAGTTCCTTGAGGATGATACCGATGTCTGGCTTCCACACTTGCCTGACTTAAATTTAGTAGAACACCCCTTGGACTTTGTTTTGGTCCAACTGCCTCTGTCAGGTTGCACCTCAGACTGTCCAGGAGCTCAGTGATGCCCTAGTCCAGATCTCGGAGGAGATCCCCCTGGACACTATCCATCATCTCATCAGGAGCATTCCCCAACATTGTTAGACATACCTACAAGCATGTGGGGGCTATACAAACTACTGAGTACAGTTTTGAGTTAGTGCAATCAAATTTTGTGTGTTTTGAAGCTTTTAGCCGTCTGTAGGTTGATAATGTACCATCCTTTCACTCCTTACCCATTACACAGTCCTTATCAGTGTAGATATCCAACATATTTCTCAGAAATGTAGCAGCCATTCACTTTCCTGTACGTTTATTTCTCCAGATTCTTTTAGACTTTTAATTATGAACCACAGACGATGAAATCAGACATTTCTTTGTAATTTCACACATTCTATGCCTTTCTTTCACAGAGTTGTGTCATAATTAGTTTAGCTTTGTTTGTGTGACTGGGTCATGTTCGTCAGTGCTTTATCAACGATAGCAGGACCAAAAAGCTGTCTTATCTCTTTTGCAACCAGGCGTTCGCATGGCCGCAACTATGACACAGAGCTGCAGAGGTGTCGTCTTGAGGCCGCTCTTGTCGATTTTGGAGACTACCACCCACTCAAACCCATCATGGTATCAGTGTTGAGCTGCATCTCTATCTGCTTTAATTCACTGAAAACATGCAGAAACATTGTTGTGGTTTTTTTAATGGGCCTGTGACAGGTTTGACCCTCTCTCAATCCGTCCAGGTGACCGATACAAAGACCCGCCGTGGGACCCGCAAAGGCAGCACCTCTTCCTCTTCATCCTCCTCTTCCTCAGCACCGCCAGACCCTCTGAGCTCCATGCTGGACGGGACCGACCCCCTGTCCATGTTTGCCGCGGCCTCGGCCAGCGAGACGCCACCCATGTCCCACAGCAGCTCCACAGGAGTCAGTGACTTGGACAAATGTAAATCCTGAAGCATGTGCTCATTTGAAAGTGAAGCTAAATAAAGATGTGCTTTCAGGACCTGGGGAGGAGGAAGAGAGAGAAGGAAGAAGAGGCAGTGGGACCAGATTTTGAACCTTGGTCACTGAAGCGAGGGGAAATCCTGGCCAGGTTCACCACCACCGAAAAACTCTCCATAGTGAGTCCTCTATCGTAGCAGCAAGGTTGTTGTTATGCTTACTTCTTACCCAAGGGCCTGCTGTCTCATAATTTAATGCTGCTTGAAAACATAGTGGAAATGAACCTGATGGCTTCACCAATTAACAAAATATTCAAGAGAGTTTAGCACTTTTTTGATGTTCTAAAATTTAATTATAATTTGTTTTTTCTCCATAGAATCTGTTCATAGGCTCTGACAGAGGTAAGAGCAACCTGTTTCTATCACATATAATAATTTCAGAAAATTTCTGAATGCTTTCAATGTCTATAGTTATCTGTAGTATCAATAAATCCTGTGACAGCATCAGAACATATTCATTTTACTACCTAAATCCTTTCAAATTGCTTTTTTCTGTCTATCATAACCATAAATGGCAGCAAAAACAAAATGGGCAAACAAAAAGAATGTCAGCATCACTTATTAAGTTGTTATTTGGTCTTTAACTTCACAACTTATACATCACTTCCTGTTTTCACTAGGAAAAGCCACCAGTCAAGGATCGGCTGTTTCAGAGAAGGTTCGCACTCGTCTGGAGGAGCTGGATGATCTAGAGGAGGTAGGCGTCCCACTGTTGGCTGGCCTTGCATTATTCTTTCAAGAAATACGATGGGGGATGTTATTGGATCTTCTTGCCTGTGTGTGTGTGCAGGGCTCCCAGAGAGAGCTGCTGAACCTCTCGCAACAGGATTACGCCAACCGCATCGAGGAGCTGAACCAGTCCCTAAAGGAGGCCTGGTCCTCTGACCAGAAGGTCAAAGCCCTGAAGATTGTCATCCAGGTAATGTTTATTTAATTGGTGCTCATTTTAACTGGTGTCGCCTTAATAAATATCACCCCTGATCTGTGATCTGTGCTGCAGTGCTCCAAGCTTCTGTCCGACAATTCGGTGATCCAGTTCTACCCCAGCAAATTTGTTCTCATCACTGATATCCTTGACACATTTGGTCAGTAAAGATTTTTTTCCACAGTTGAACCTGAACAATGTGCAAGTTTTGTGACTCGGGTCCTTGTTGTTTGCAGGCCGGCTGGTGTACGACAGGATCTGGACCATGTGTTCAGACCCACGACCTTTACCAGGTAAAGTGGAAAAGCTGACAATCAACTTAAAGCTTTAAATTCTTCAGAGCATTTAGACAATCCTTGCACCTTCTGAAGTCATGTTGCATTGATTTAGTTTTTGTTAATTCACATTTGACTTTTGTTTGCCACCTCAGATAATTTCACAGTTGAAGATGTGAATGACACCGCAAAGGAGACGTGCCTCAACTGGTTCTACAAGATCGCCTCCATCAGAGAGCTCCTTCCCAGACTGTATCCTTCAACACCCTCACTCAGAAGGATTTCTGTTCATAGTCTGCTTTTGGCTGGAGTTTCATTCACTCGCAGACCTGGTTTTAAAATCAAGTTCAATTCAGTTTTATTTACATAGCACCAAATCTCAACAACAGTCACCTCACCTCTCTTTTAGCAGGAAGTAACCTCCAGCAGAACCAGACTCAGGGAGGAGCACCCATCTGCTGTGACCGGTTAGAGGTGTGGGGAGGGAGACAGGCCAAAAACACAAACTTTGAAAGAGAACCAGATATTAATAATAACGATTAAATGCAAAGTGGCTCAGCTATGTATGTTTGTAAGTAATTTGTATGTAAATTTGGTTCTTTAACCTCGTGATACAGCTATGTTGAAGCTGCCATTCTCAAGTGCAACCGGTTCCTCAACAAATCGTGAGTCCTCACAGTTTATCAGCTGGTTTCCACAAGGATTTTTCTTTAGGATACGTAAAGATTTAGCAATAATATTTGGAAAATGTCATTTTAATAGCTGTGATGCATCAACCATGTTTGTAAACTGGAATAAAATCGTTTGACATAAAGAAAACACCTTCTGTCCTGCCACTGTCCACAGCGGCATTCAGGAGACCCTTCCTCGGTTGACTGCCATGGTCAGAGGGATTGGAGACCCTCTGGTGGCTGCATATGCCAGAGCTTACCTCTGCAGGGTGAGATGGACTCTGCTCGTCTTTCCTTAATTTCCCTACCTTCCTGATTGTGTTTGTGGGGTGTCCTATTTAGGCTGTTGTTGCTACATCTGCAACCCACTGTGACCCCAGCTTCTCTCCTTCGTGTTATTTCAGACTTATTTCTGTCTCCTGTTGTTTGTCGTTGATGCCTCTTTTTTCTGAGTGAGCATATTGCTCCTGTCCAGATCAGTTGCCATAAAAAAAATGCTGCAAATGCATGAACAATGCTATTTTTGACTTGCCCTGTTTACCAGCTTTGTAGGTTTTGTTTGTTTGACACCTATATCCTTCTTTCCAGGTGGGCATGGAGGTGGCCCCCCACCTGAAAGACAGCCTGAACCGCAACTTCTTCGACCTGCTCGGCACTTTTCGGCAGATCAGCAGCGAGAACGTCCGGGCCCAGCTGGTGCTGCAGAGGGTGGAGATGCCCGAGTACCTGACACTCTACTCACCTGCCATCAGCTGGATCCTGCAGTGTATCGCGTACAGAGCTCCAGAGGTATTTACTTAGACTTTATTGAAAAAGTGGAGCTCGGTGAGAGCGTCGCAGGGGCACAACCTCAGTGATGTTTCTGCTTTTAATGCTGCTTGTGTTTCTGTTTCAGTCTCTGCTAACAGAGATGATGGAGAGATGCAAAAAACTGGGAAACAAGTGAGTGCTTTAAAATTATTAGTAGCTGTTTCTTGTCATGTGATTTACCTGGAAGTGTCACGATCCTTTTATTTCATAGAAATGACCGTTATTAGCATGGGTTTAGCTAAAGTTGTCACAGAATGTATGGCACAGCACTAGTTCATCTTTGCTTTCCCACAGTGCTTTGCTTTTGAATTCAGTAATGAGGGCATTCAGGCCAGAGTTTGTTGCAGCCAGAGCCACAGACTTCATCGGTATGATCAAAGACTGCGACGAGGCCGGCTTCCCAAAGGTCAGAGAACGTTTCATGTTCACTGCATCTTTTTTCTTACCTTGGTTAAAAACAAAGAAGTCATCTTCTGTTTATTGGATGTGGGGAAATAAGTACAAGATCAAAAATACTTATGAAAAACAACTTGGCAGTAACACAATTAAAATATCCCAGAGCAAAACAGCTTGGAAAGGGAAAACAATTACACCACAAAAATCATCTCAGAGCTCAGTGAATTAAAGTCTAAATATGGACACAATAAGGAGCTCAAAGCTAAAATGAATGCAGGTATTGTTGGTATGAGGTCAGTGGAAATGAAACTGATGTGCTCAGCTGTATGTGCAGGAAGTGATGCAGAAGGTCTACAGCCACAGTTACATGGCCTCTGCATCAGCTAATGGAGGAATCCAGACAGTGTGTTGATTCCAGCTGGATTCAAACAGCAACACTGATGACAAATTCTCTCCACTCCTTTCCCATGATGATGGCTGGATCAGATCCAGATCTGAAACCTCTTTGTTTCCTCTACAGCTCCTCCAGGATTATAGTCAACACAATCAACTGGTGAAAATTCATTACTGCCAATAATTTAATGGGAAGGTTTATAAAAGCTGAAGAAAAAGTAGTCATTACACCTTCACATAATTCACAACGAGTATGAAAAATCAATCTCATTGGGTAATAAAGTCATTAAAATATATAAAGGATAGAGGCAGATGTTCAGGTCATTGTCTAAATCTTTTTGGAATGAATTTTGTCTCCTTTTCAGCATCTGTTGTTTGGCTCTCTGGGTCGCAGCCTGGCGTCTGCCGATCCTCCAGAATCCGAGAGGCTGACGATCCTGAATGAAGCCTGGAAAGTCATCACCAAAGTCCGCAGTCCACAGGTTCTGAACCGCTGACAGTAGTTTTCAAAAGGTCCCGTTATTCCTGCCAGAATGTTCCAGATTGTTACTGAAAATCTCATTTTGGTTTGCAGGACTACATCAACTGTGCTGAAATCTGGGTGGAGTTTACCTGCAGACACTTTACAGTGAGTAGAAAGCAGTCAAACACAAATTTTATTTATTGATGTTTTGGAAATGCACTACCTTTCTTAATCCTCTCTCTGCGTGACTGTCAGAAACGGGAGGTCAACACGATTTTGGCTGACATCATCAAACACATGACCCCTGACCGAGCATTCGAGGACGCCTACCCTCAGGTTGGTGCACGATGCTTCCCTGAATCTCGGCTACTCTCCATCCTCCTCTTTCCTTCTGCTCTGTACTAACTGTCTCGTGTCTGTTCTGCGTGTAGCTGCAGTCGGTGATCAGGAAGATCCTCACCTACTTCCACGACTTCTCTGTCCTCTTCTCCATGGTGAGCTTCTACAGCTTGAGCTGCAACGATGAAACTGTGATTCCAGTGCCATAAGTCGAGCTACATTTTCAGTTTTTGCTTTTTTCGGTTCTTCAGGAGCGATTCCTGCCGTTCCTGGACATGTTCCAGAAGGACAGCGTGAGGGTGGAGGTCTGCAAATCCATCATGGAGGTCTTCATCAAGTAAGAGTTCAAGTCATGAGATTATTGAGAGTTGTGGCAGAAACGTTGATGTTTCGTATTGATGTTCTACTCTGTTCTCCGGCCTTTAGACACCAGGTGGAGCTCACCAGAGACCCGGTGATCCTCAACGCCATGCTGCACATCTGCAAGACCATGCACGACTCTGTCAAGTAGGGTATTCGTTTGTGTGTGTTATACAGATGTATGCTACTTTCATATCTGTGACTTAAAGCCGTCGTTTCAGCTGTGTTCGTGCGGTAACGCATTTATTTTTCTCTTTGTCTTGAAGTGCTCTTACTCTCGAAGACGAGAAAAGATCTTTGGCTCTGCTGATCATCGGCTTCATCCGCATGGTGAGATTATCACATCTATTATATTATGTCAACAACAATCACAACTGCTGTTTCGGCCTCTTGTATTGCATTGTTTTGATCTGCATCTGTTGTTTTTGTTTCAATTTTGGGGTTACATTTTTTTTTCTCTGCACTTCAGGTTTCCTTTGGTCGTGACTTTGAGCAGCAGTTGAGTTTCTGTGTGGAGGCTAGAGCCACCTTCTGTAACCTGGAGCCTGTCCTGGTGCAACTCATTCATGTAAGCCTGTGTTTGCCATTTCAGCATTAAGTGACAGAAGCCACAACGCCATCTCCTTCATGTAATCTTGTCGTTTACAGACGGTGAACCAGCTGGCCATGGAGACCAGGAGGGTGATGAGAGGGAATCACTCCCGCAAGACTGCTGCTTTCGTCAGAGTGAGTCCACACATGCAGTCTCTAATCTTTTCACATCACCGTACGTTCCTGTTGGGTGACTTTTTAGCAATGCCAAAGGAAAAGTCAAAAAACCACAGACTGTATATAAAAGACAGTCAACATTAGCATTTTGGCTAATGCTAATTTATCACCTAATGCTAGCAAGCTTTTTTTATAGGCCTGTCTTACAGAAATAACATTGCATGAAATTTTCCTCTCCCTCTCTCTTTTAGGCATGTGCCGCCTACAGTTTCATCACCATCCCGTCTCTCAGCAGCATCTTCAGTCGACTCAGCCTCTACCTGTTGTCCGGTCAGGTTGCTTTGGCCAATCAGTGTCTGTCCCAGGGTAAGTAGCTGTCTCATTCGAGATTTAAGTTTAAGATTTAGTTGATCAAAACTTGTGTCCCTAATGTTTTTACTGTATTGTGATAATTTCTGTTTCTCTTGTCCTTCCCACGCCTTTTCTGACTCGTTCTCCACCTTCCTTCTTCCAGCCGATGCTTTCCTAAAGGCAGCCGTAAGCATTCTTCCGGAGGTTCCTCGCTCCATCAGCGTGGAGGGAAAACTTCGCTCTTCTGAAAGCTTCCTCGTGGACTTTATCAACAGCTTCTTGGCAACGCTGCTGGTTATCCCGGTAAGGTTCATTACGGTTCAGAGGTGGGTTTACAGTCTCAGTTCAGCTTGACAAATGTTTTGATTTTTGTTGTTGTTGTCTTTTAACAGGACCATCCAGAGCATGGGGTGCTCTACTTAGTCCGGGGTCTGCTCAACATGGTCCAGGATTATACCTGGGAAGACAACAGCGATGCAAAGGTGCGGGTTTACATCAGTGCTCTGCCCCTGCTGGCAGCCATGAGCCAGGAAACCTATCTGTACTCTATCCCCAAAGGTAACGGCACACACATAAACACTGAATTTACATCAGAGAGCTCTAACAAAGACAGACTTTTACAGATTTTCCCAGGCTAATTTCTGTAAGCCCTAAAACTTAAGAGTTTCACGCGTTGAGCTTTTACTTGTGACGTTTCCTGTTCTTGTCACATGTACAGTTGAGGACAGTGCTGTTTTCAACAAGTCTCTCACACGTCTCCAGAGGGATTCCAGTCCATTCTTTTTTTAAGGAATCTCTCAAGCTCTTCCAGATTTGATGGTCTTCTGGCACGGATGTCGGTCTTCAGTTCACTCCACAGATTTTCAGTGGGGTTCAAGTCGGGGCTTTGTGCAGTAACATTCACTTTGGTCTTCTCGAGGTGGTTCTTCAGCAGTAGCAACATATGCTTTGAACGACGACCCAGACCCAGTTTTGCTGCTGACTGTATCCTTCTCTCTTCATGATTCCCAGTTCCAGATGCATCTCCACAGCAGGTCCTCCTTAGTGCACTTAAGTCTGGCTTGAACATGTGTCTTCAGTAGAAGTGGAGTTTTTCTCCAGTCCATTCCTCAGCAGCGTTCTAGTGATTGTCAACTTCAAGATTTAAATTCTTGTCCTAGCTAAGTCGTTCACTCGTGACTCAGCTGTTGTTCTGCAGTCTTTAGACACATCTCTCATAAGATGTTTTTACAGTCTTTTCATAGGGCCCACCTCACCCAAAGGAAAATATTTAAAAGGTTTAGGTAGCACAGACCACAGTGCACTTCAGGGAGCCCAGACAATTACTTCCCCCACTCCCCTCCTTTTGGATGGCGGTCCCTAAGACATCATCCACTGTCCTTGGCTATCGAACCCCTTCATCTCCATCCCTATGCTTACATGGTAATATTACAGAATTTAACAAAATGGGAAATATAGGAACCCACTCTTTATCTCTCTATTGCCAAGAAAGCTATATTTTGAAATTGGAAAGCCAAAAGATCACTACTCCTGAACCACTGGATCAGTCTTATTACAGAATACGTGACTTTAGAGAGAATAATGTATTACCACAGAAATAATATATCTTCATTTAATGACATCTGCTACATGCTTCTGACTTATCTCGGTTTGGATCAGACGCCAGGGGCTGAAACCAAGCACATCTCCACAAACACACAAACTTACTGTTGTGTATCGTAACTGATCGTCCTCAATCTTATTAAGATTTTTTATTAACATGGTTATTAGATATTAGATACGTGTGTGTGTGTGTGTGTGTATAGATAGATAGATAGATAGATAGATAGATAGATATAATTTATTTAATATTATGTATTAGCTAATGTATTACTATTACATATTACAATGTTTTAGATAAACATGTAAATACCCCACAAATAAAAAGCAGTAGTATGTAGTAGTAGTATGGTATAAACATACTAGTAGTATGTTTAGAAATGCTAAGGAAATGAAAAAATTAAAGTCCCTTGTTCTGCAAATTCCACAGGGGGGTAATAATAATTCTGTCTTCATCTGTAGTAAGACAGTGAGGAGTTTTCCCCGTTAATCTAATTATTCTGTTTCCTGGCTCAGTGGATTCTAATGACACGCTCTATGGCGGAGATCCCAAATTCCTATCAGAGATCAACAAGCTGTGTGAGACTCTGATTGGACAGATCCTCGACCACCTGAAGACACTCGGTCGTGATGAGGTGAGGACGCGGTGCTTTTGATATAAATTCAAAAACAAAAAGCAACTGCTTCCACGGCTGAAGGAATTATTTGAAAGAAAAATAATCTGGTTTTAGTGAAAATCCAGATTTCAAGCTTGCCAAAATCTGGATGCTGTGTAACCAAAGTTATGCTGCCTTCATGTACATGTGGGAATGAAAACCAAAAACTGGAAAACCACGCTGACGTGCATTTCCCACTCTCTTGCAGCAGAGCACACGCCGCCAGGGCGCTCTGGCCTTCTCCCTGTTTGGTGTCCTGCTGGCTCACGGTGATCTGAGGAACAACAAGCTGAGCCAGCTGGCAGTCAACCTTTGGAACCTCAGCCACAAACATGGATGCTGCGAGACCCGCACCTCCGTGAGTTCATGTTTCAGAGCTCCGAGGCCCACTCTGTACACTTTAAATCTGCTGTATTTGTGAATGCAGCCTCACTGACTTCTCATCTTTGTCTGCTGCAGGTTCGGACTCTGGAGTTCATCAAACATCAGACTCAGCAGCCGGACATGACTCATCTGTCAGATATGGTCCAGAGGCTCACGCTGCAGTCTCGCACCTGAGCTCCACACTCAATGACGTGTTACACTGCTCAATTTAAATTTGTGTAAATAAAACCTAACAAAGGAATTTTATATGCCTGTTTTCTGTGTCTTGTGTAGACTTTTATATAGTCTGAGTACTTGAATCAGATCACCTTGACACCTTTAGTGTTTTGACTGTCCAAGACTGCAAGACGGTGGCCTCCAGCTGAGTGATTTATTCTGCAAATGACACAAACAGCCTCCCACCAAACTAAAATAAGCCTTGCTAGGGGAGAAAGGACCCCAGATACTTTTATCAGGAGCTGAACCACCACCTTTAAACCTCTGATAAGCTGCAGCCTCACAGCCCAAGTTAATGACACAAGTTTAAATGGTTTTACAGAGAAACTCCCCTCTGTCTCGCTGGTGCTAGCTGTTGTTAGCAGCTTATAATTTTTGTAGTTCCCAGTGCTTGCAAATAAATAACAACAAGGAAGCCGTTTCACATTCTCACACTCTTCTCAGTTGTAGTTTATTTTCTTATTTAGTGACAGCTGAAAAGTCAAACACTTCGCTTTAGCTCTCAAAGGACAAAATGATCAGAAACAGCAGCAAACAGTCGTGATGACGCTCACCGACACACACTGCAGGCCTTTGGTCACACACTTCTTCCTGGTAACAACAGGACACATCTGACTAAACTGACTTTCAGGTTAAGAAAACAAAATTATTTTTTTTCCCTTTGCTTACAAAACTCAAAAGGATGCTGTGAAAAATTAACACTGAATAAAAATGTAACTGACAACACGGTAACACGTGCTTGGATGTACTCGCCTGAAAGTCATTTTGGCCTGAATTTCCCTTTTGGAAGGTGGACCCGGATCTGTGGGGTAACAGAAGCCAGCAGGATGAACCTAGTTCTGAATGTTTCATGACTAACAACAGCCGTTTAAATAGGAGGATTTCTGACGACAACTGCAGAAAGAAATGGTCTCTCTCCAACACGAGATAAACACTGACGACACGGAGCGTCTACACTATTCAGTCTGTCCCTCTGCAGCTGCCAGATTCTGTGGGGAATGTCAGTAATGATGTGTTTCAATAAATTATTCTGACTGCTATTTATTAGCATACCTACTGTCTTCATTTTATTTAATATACTTAAATGCAAAAAACACAAAAACTGAAGTTCCCCAGAAATTAATGTATTGAATTATCAGACCATTTAATGTTTGTTTTTTTAATGTATTTCATTGGTTATTTGCTGTTCTTTTTATTTTATTATTAATATTGGCCTTTTAGGACTTCCACAGCCCAACACGCAACTACATAAAAGTAAACTAGAACAGCCCTCAGAGAGCAGAGACGCTTTATTTTTTTGCAGTTTTAAAAAAAGCGACGGAGATGTGGATTAAAATCTGTTTCTTTGCTGATGGGAAGAAAAATGTTTAACCAAATAAAGATTACTTTACACTGGAAGACCTGTAGACATTCCAATTTTTCTGCCATTTATTGAAGGAAAAGTGTTGCACACCTTTTTCAAATAATCAGGGCTGAAAAAGGTGTTTTCAGATAACATGGAGCACAATTGGGACTTCGAAAAACAGACTGACAAGACCTGAAGTTATCACAAGTCACAATGAGAAGTTCTCAATGTGAGCAAAAGACAAGAACGCTGTGCTCTCCGAGGGCCGATGACTTTAACACTGATAAGCAGCAGCTACTGAATGAATCATGCTTCTTATTTCGCACCGGCTGAACTGATGTTTCACCGCCTCCAAGAAAAACCTGGTTTGGACCTAAAACAGAGGCGCGAGAACGAGAGTGAAGCAGCTGGTTTAAATATTAGCAATTTACAACATGCGATGCAAGTTTAAGTCTAACAAACGTTCGTTTCACAGTGTCCGATTTCACTCCTTTCATAAAAAAAGGTCACTTTTGCAGCTGTGTAAGTGCTTTAAAATTTGTTGGAACAAAAAGTCAAATCCGAGGGGCAGAATTCATCTTGGAGATTTAAAGCAACAGCAGCAGTTCAGCCAGCATAGGGCAAAAAGTTGAACCACACAACAACGGAGCCGTTTGATACAGACAGCTGTGTGTTTGCAGTAGTGTTACACAACAGAAATGACACTGCAGAATGGTTTGTTTGGTGGATGTTTAAGGTGCAACGTGACCTCTGATAATAACTTCAGAGCTCTGATGGGGGTTCTTTTTTTTTAAAAAAATGTCCATTAAACCGCAGATGAGATGCTGAAACCTGACCTCAACTAAAAAGCATAATTTAATATCCTACTGAGAGAAGAAGATGAAGAAGAAACCTGTAACGGAATAAGTTGAAAAACGCCAACAGCAGCTATACCGTGGCAAGTTGGAGACTTGCTGTGAGCCAACTAAACCCTCTTATCTGCGACATTATGTCATGGAGACAGACTTGTGATGCTGTCCTCTCCACTGAGACTCCAACTACCTCCTAGGAGCAGGTTTTCACAAGCAGAGAGGACAGTTGTGATGTCTTGTTTAAAAATCTTACACCCTTAAAGAACAAAAATGATTAAAATAATTGTATATAACAGTTCAACACAAAAACAGTTTGCAGTTTGGCGTTGTCAGTCCAGGCAGTGCTGACGGGGGTGTTTTTTTGTATTTGTTTGTTTTGCCGGTCCAATAGTTTTTCTTTCTTGCTTTTTTTTTTTTGACTGGATGATTTGAGAGATGATGTTTCTGTTAAACAGCACACCTCTGAAATCACAGACCACCACCGTGCCCTGACCCCGCGGTGGACCTGAAGGAAGGAGGCTGGGTGGTCTTATTCATTATTTTTTGTGTGTTTGTTCTTGATTCCCTCGTCCCAGGCTGCGTGCTCAGTCTAATTCTATGGGGCTGTCCTCTGGAGGTTCTTCAGTTCCGTCATCCTCCTCACCCGAACCCATCAGGCTGTTCAGCAGATTGCCTGCAAGGTGCAAAACAGCAATCATCATTCTTTCAAAGGCTGCTGCAAAGCCAACTCAGGTGAAATAGGGCTGTGCGATATATCGGGATATGAGATTTTGGTCATAAGACATCTATCGTCCCGATAACGATATAAATCACAGAAATGTAACATTTTCTGTAAATTCTGTGAATCGCGGGCAGCTCGACTTGTGTAAAGTGTTTCCAGCTGGGTGTCGTGTAGCTGGAGTCGAGTGTTTTAACTGATGCATCAAACTATACATTTTTAGACATAAGTTGTAACAGCCGCTGTTTCTTTGTGAGTATTTATTACACGGCGTGCTGCGGGAAAAAGCCTGTTCTAACGTTTGAGTCTAAGATTTATTTTTTAGCACCTGACGGCTCTTTTTGCTTCTCATCCGTAAGTACTCTGCATACTTTTACGTGACTCAGTTTATTTTGAAAAGTCTCAACAGAATCTTGAGCTTTATTGTGAAAGGTTTATGTGGAAACAAGCAGACACGCAATGGTTTTACTGTCATTGTTGCTAACAACAACGCATAAAAACAGGCGCTTGTCCCTCCGTAGTGTGGTTATATTAAATATAAGAGAAAGAGAGAACTTTAAGAAATTAATATAGCCACTACAGTGACCATCAAAACGATGAAAAAATATTGCCGTAAACAGTTTATTTTGCGACACCACGAAACAAACGATAGCGTAAAAAGAAACGATAGATGTTTTTATATCATCATCCGATATATTTCGTTATATCGAACAGCCCTATGCAGCATCAGAAAAATGTAGAACTGTTGTGAACCATGTTTTTATATCATCATCCGATATATATCGTTATATCGAACAGCCCTAAGGTGAAATATATCTTCATTTTACTGACAAGGAACACAAAAAACAAACAACTGCAGGAAAACATTTAAACTTTAATAATTTAAAAGATTTGGATTAAACATTTCCAGCGGTAAGCTGAGCCATCCATCACGGTCTCCATTTCTGCTCTTTCGTATTTGGCCACAAGCCTCCTTCTGTCAGAGCATCTGCCACCTTATTAGTCTCCTACTTCAAATTCCAACAGAGACGTAAAAAAGAGAAATAGAAATCTCAAATAGAAACGGATACGGTTAATATCCAGCTTTTTAAACTGTTTTTGGTGGTCTGGTGACACATGTTTATGTCCATGTGGCCACTGAAACTACAGCGATGATATTCCCCTCATTTTTTTTTATTTATTTATTTTTTTTTACATATAAGTTCCTGGAGGTTAAAACCAGGTCAGACAGCCTACATTCTACATGGGTAAGAGTCACGACTACAAACAGTTCCTTTAATTAAGCTGCCTGTTATTTTACATCTTGTCTAATAGCTTTTGAAGCACCTTCATAAATGATGCAGAGGCTTCAGGTAGTTTCTTGGTAGCATCACATTCAAAAGTAGCTGGTGATGAAAAACATCGCTATCAGTTTTTCTCTTCATCTTGCTGGTAAGTCTATTAACGTGTGTGTGTGTATATACACATCAGTTGTGTTTGCCAACTCACCTAGTAGTCCGCCATACGATGGGGACTGTTTGGGTGGAACGCCAAAGAAAAGCTGTCCTATTCTGTCGAGATACTGAGGAGTCACAAAAATGTCAAGAGAGAGAGGAAGAGAGGATTACACCTGAGTAGAGTCTGTGTTTACAGGCAGTTTAACCCCATGATGCGACTTCAATGACAGACTTTCTCCAACATCTTTAACCAAATGAATTCAAAGGTTAAGTTAGCCTAGCGCACATGGCGTAGTCATTTGTTACATTCATTATGGGCAAAGACAAACAGTATGAAGCTGCAGCTCAACACTCACCTCATTATACATGGGATCCCTCTTCAGGGAAGGCTGATATTGCTCACATAACACTGTGAAAACTGTTAATTTACCCCTAAAGAAAACAAACAAAAAGCATCTAAATGATGAAAACAATTCACTGATATTTTTAAGCTTACTTCTGTCAGGCATGATAAGCAAACTCAACAATCCCAACATCTGTCCTCACCCGTCCACTGCCAGCAGCAGAAACCAGATAAAGTTTAGTAGAGGCTGCACGAAAGGAGGGCCCCTCTCTATGGACGGGTGTTTCTCTGTGTACGTGCTGAACACCACGGAAGCGCTGTTTTTGTTCTTTAAGCAGAGGAACCTGGAGGGTTTGAGAGTTGAGAGAAGAAAGGGAGAGTTATGGAGATGGCATGATAATAAAGGTAAATGATGCTCAAAGCCTCTTTGAAGAAATGGCTGACAGACTAAAAATAGATGCAGCTGCTGGTCGACATGTTGGAGATGGATGCGTCAGTACCATTTTCTCCATTTCTACCGCTTCTGAACACCGACACTATACTCAATACTCCTGAGGGGTAAACTGCAAACCAAGCTCCACACAGCTAGGCTTTTTTTGCATTTAGCTGGTTCAACAAAACCTAAATCCCCAGTTTATAACAGGAATCACTAGCACTGTCATCAAATTTCTCTGTTAAGGTGGAATTTCTGTTTCAGACTCTGCGCTTGGTCACTCACATAAAAATGCATGTCATGTGACTCTTCTGCACAAAAGGATTCCTATGAGTGCCACCTACTCCAATCAGAAACATTAGAAAACCACAGATGAATTGCCCTCTAACCTAATAACTGGTTGTGTTATCTTTGGCTGCAAGACCTGCAATCAAGCATTTGTCATAACTGCCTGTTTAGTGTCATGCCCAACATCTCAATCAGATTTTAGTCTGAACTTTGACTAGGACACTCCAAAACCGTGACTTATTGAGTTATTTATTCATTTATGTTTAACCATTCAGAGATGGGATGCATAAGTGTACTTGAGCTTCAAGTCATGAACTGATGGTCGAACATTCTCCTTCAGGAGAAAGCAGAATTCATGGTGCCATCAGTAACAGCAAGTCATGCAGGCGCCAAAGCAGCTCCAGACCATCACACTACCACCACCATGCGTGACTGTTGGTATGAACTTTTTAATGAAATGCTGTCTTAGTTTTACCACAGAATATTTCCCAAAAGTCTTGGGGATCATCAAGATGTTTTTTGTTTTTTTTTGGAAAATGTGAGACTTTGTGTTGTATTTGGCCTCCTTGGAGCTCTCCCATGCAGGCCCTTTTTGCCCAGTCTCTGTCTTATTGTTGAATCAGGACAATAAGTGAGGTAAGTGAGGCCTGCAGTTCTGGGTTCCTTTTTGACCTGATCTTCAATGCACTCCTGGACTGATTTGGGTAGGCTAGCCACTCCTAGGAAGGTTCACTACTGTTGCAAGTTTTCTCCATTTATCGATAATGGCTCTGACTGGCTCACTGGAGTCCCAAAGCCTTAGAAATGACTTTCCACGCCAATAACTGTCAACTTTGTTTCTCAGCTGTTCTTGAGTTTCTGTAGATCACTGCATGTTGAGATCTTTTAGCCTGCTTCACTTTGTCAGACAGGTTCTATTTAAGTGATGTCTTGATCAAACAGATCTGGGGTTTAGCTAATGAAATCAAACTCAGCTTTCCAAAAAACAAAACAAAAAAAAAAACACCCCACAGTTAAATTTAGCTCGATGACCTGGATGACTGAGAACCTTCACAGACTTAAATTTAGCTCCCTCCCCGTTTCCTAATTTTGCATCTGAGAATGTGACAAGGTGACAGTTCACTTACTGTAGGACGGCCTGCGCCACAAACATGTCAACCTCACTGCGGAAGCCTCGTGATGCTGAATACTCCACCAACATGTGTGCACAGCCCTCCCCGTCAGAGGAATGCAGGAAGTGATAACGAGACTCACTGTAGTTTTGCTCTGACGATTTAAAAGAAAAATACAACAACATCTTAATTTCCAAGATGGCAACATCAGGACAGTAATGATGTAGCAAGCAAAACAAAACAACGTTACCAGGAAAGACACCAAACAGGATGTCATTATACACAGAAGATGTCATGCGAGCATAATTAGTCAAGACGGACTGATACAAGAAGCAAATGCCCCGTGTTTCTAGAATAAGGACACACTCTGACCTTGTGATATGACACTATGTTTTAACACATACAAAGCTATTGAATTTTAAACCCAGTTTCAAAAAAGTTGAAACTGTGTATAATATAAATAAAAACAAAATGCAGGGATTTCATAAACCCACAAACTCCTTTTATTTAAAATAGAATAGCCATTGTTTGAAATGAAAAAAAATGCACCATTGTTTTAAAAGATTAGTTCATTTTGAATTTGATGGCAGCTAAAATGTCTCAAAGGTGTTTTAAAGACATTGGATGTTGCACCCTTTTCAACAAAAATGTTGGAAAGGGGGCAACAAAAGGCTGGAAATGCAAGTGGCACAAAAAGAAACAGTGAGAGGAATATTTTCTAAACTAACTGGAAAGCGGTCAGTAACATGATTGGGTTTTAAAAAGGGCATCTTAGAGAAGCAGAGTAAAGTATGTAAAGATTGGCAGAGTTTCACCAATCTGAAAAAAACAGTCTACAACTTGTGTAACAATGTCAAAATAATGTTCTTAAGTGTAAAGCTGTGAACACTTTGAATATCTCATCTATCTGTACAGATTTTAGAGCAACATATGCTCCCATCTGGATGTCTTTTACATCGAAGGCCTTGCATATCTCAGTGAGACAATGCCAAACTGCAGCTACTACTACTACAACAGCATGGCTCCTTACTAGAAGAAGATGTAGGTGGTGAACTGTCCTGCCTGCAGTACACTACACTCACCAACTGAAAACATTTAGTGCTTCATGAAGCAAAACTTCAGCAACAGTCAGGACTATAAAGCAGCTGGAATCTCTATAAGACAAGAATGGGACCCTTTTGCTAACATTCTTCTCCCAAGAGTCAAAGAACTGCTCTCCTCAGCTCGAGGAGACTTGTTGGAGATGTGTTGCTGCCGTCAAATTCAAAATGAGCTAATATTTTCCTTAAAATGGTTCTTCTCAGTTTAAACACTTGATATGTTTTCTATGTTCTATTGTAAATAACATATGTCCTTGTGTGATTTGTGAATCATTGCATTCTGATTTTATTTACATTTCACACAGAGCCCCAACTTTTTTGGAATAGGGTGTTGTGTGTCTTCTCTGAGTAGTCTAGACATCATACACACCCACAATTAAATCTAGTGTGTATGTGCATCGAAACATTTTGTATGCTTTTTATTGATCAAGCCAATCAGCCATTCACAAAGTGTGCAATCTGGCATTAATTATTACTTTGCAGTCATGGGTTCACTGTTACTAATCAATATATCTCACAGCCTATCAGTAAACCGATGGTGTCTACTGATATCTTAATACGTACATTTAAAAACCTTCTACTCTCTGCGCTACATAATCAACATGATCAACTTTTACCTTTCCACAAAGTGACAGCAAGCAGCTGGTGTAGTTTTGGATGACCCAACTTGCCAGACCCTCCTGTGGACCATTTCAAGGCTCTGGAAACAAATGCTACTCTCTCTGGAGAGTTCTGGTCCATCTGGCTGAACAGTTTAGCCAGACATTCTTTAAAAAAATAAATAAATCAGAGAAATATAAATGAAATGCCCTGTTGTGCAGACTTCTTTGACTATCATGAGGATTTATTGCTACATCATTTGCGATCAGTCATACACACAGATAGAGAAGTGAGATTTAGCTGATCAATTATTTATTATATGAAGCACAAATCCACAGTTCAGCTATTGCAGCAGTTAATGATCAGGATATGTTTGATAAACTGCACATATTCTATATGTGATTTTAGTTTGGTAATATTTATTTCAATAGAAAAAAATGTATTTACCACTATTTACAAGAAGTCTTGTAGATGAACTTTAAAACACAAAGTCTTGCACCCACCTAATATTTCATCTTCAACTTTTGTCTCAGATTTCTCCAAAACCTCCAGCACCAGCATGGACAGATCTGCTGCGCTGTTTTGCTGCAAACCAAAACACAGCAAGTGTAATTTAATTTTTTTTTTTTTTTAAATCTACACCGTCAGGAACTGTCTGGAACTTGGGTTAATGATCTACTATAAAATATTATAATTACACAAAACAAGTCAATTATTACAGCCAAAATTATTTGCTTTCTAACAAACTCAGTGCTGCGTGTACCTGGTTGTAGCTGAAGAAGAGCAATGCTCCGTTATACATCAGCTCCCTGGCCTCCGCATGTTTCCCCTGTGACATGTACCTGATGCAAGACAGAGTATCAGTATTACACAAGAGATGACACTATCCGTTTCCAAGGCACACTAGCTCAGTCCGGCTTCCCTTCTTTTTCACAGCAGGTATCAATGAAGGAAAACAATATTTTAGACTCCCTTTATTTCCAGGTGTTAACACTTCAATCATGAAAACCAGTGAATGAGCAGGCCAACACTCACCCACTGTGAGAGAAAGAACGTTTTCAAATTGGATTCAAATAGGTTTATAGCACCTTTTTTTTTTTAAATTAAAAGCTGGTGATACGGAGCTAAGCAGTATTGCACCTTGACTAATAATGTTATTGCACTAAATAGAGCTCAGATTTCATAGTGTTGGAGCAGGGAGTTAAGACTGAGCTTTTATGACAAAAACTGGAACACTCAACAAACGCTTAGGCTTATTCAGGTCTCTACATGGACAGGCTGTGAATGAAGACACGTTTGCTAGCGTTAACACGTCCAGCCATCTCGGTCCAGACCGCGACAGTGCAGAATGTTGCTAACTGGCTAACTCAGCCGGACATCTTCAACTAACAAGTTTTTGCAACCTCAGCAGTTACTAAAATAGTTAGCCGCTAGATTCGGTTATGTACGAATAAAGAGACTTTCAAGTTACACATAAAAGCAGAATATCTGTGGTAGGCATTGTCCGGGTAGCTAACTACACTTCAGCCATCAAAAGCAAACACATAGCTGGCTAACTAGCATTAGTTAGCAGTCCCGTTTTGAGACTAGATGGAAAACGCGACCGTCCAAACAAACACAAGGATCACGAAGAGTGGGTGGGCCCGCTGTGAAAGCAGACCAATCACAGACAGTCAGGTGTAAAAGCAAGGTTGACAGCAGAATGATCTGGAACAGGCAGGCCTCGAAGCCAAACGGCAATTATAACCGAATGAACAAGCGTAAAAACGAAGTCTCACCTAAAAAATAAAGTCCTGTACATCTGATGTGCTTCATAATAATCCCCCTTTTCTACGCTGGCTCGCAGTTTTCCTTCCACCCTCTGTACGCCTCCACGGTTTCTGGCACTGGAGCACCTCAGAGACTCCTGCTCCGACATCGTTGCTCCTCCGTAGCAGCAGCAGCACACCCAGCGACTGTTGACAGGGTGAACCCGGAAAGCTTTAAACTTAATGGACCCTCGTCGCTTGCCGTAGCTGGTGTATCGCAGTAGGTGTAAATGTTATGGAAGCATGAAAACTTTTGAAACCTTTTTGTAACCAGCAAAGGATGCTTGAGGCAACACGGTAACGAGGTTAATTGTAGGGAAAATAAAACTAAAAATAAAAACATTATTTTAAAAAAAGAGATTCACCGTTTTTTTTTTGGCATATATTATTAAATGCCTGGATAGTAAGTAACATATTTGCATCCCGATGCCGGACTTTAATTGATTAATTACTGTTAATTACTATAACAGATTGAGTTATTTAAATTTGGAGAAAAACTTGAAAACGGGATTTATAGTGAAGAATAAATAAATCATAGTTTTGTAGAGTGGCAGAGATGCTCAATATGTGTCCCATCTGGTGAACTTATTGTCATACATTAGCTACCTGTAAAGCCAGCTCTCTGATATGTGTTATGCTTACAGACTGTACTGTTACTGTTCTTCTAGTGTCTGTAGAAAGCTATATGAGAAACATTACTAATCAGGAAAGATCAGAGAGAAAGACTTAACAGATAGAACATTTCTATAAATATTTGCTGTAATTACAACAACAGGAGGATCATTTCATATTTCCGAACAGCTTAAGTTACTTGTATCTGTCACTCAACTTTTTTAACAGTCAAAAACGCGTCTTAATACACTTGAATCTGGAATAAATCTGGAACCTGAAAATAGACGAGGTGTAGGGGTCCAGGTGCCTCTCAGACCATGTAAACTACAAAATACTTAAACATTTTATGGGCTTTAATCCTATGTCCTTATATCCTATAACAACTTTTTCTTGTTGTGGTTTTGAGTCTATAGCGATATATTAGTATTAATGGGATTTATTTAGCCAGATGACATTTGGTATACTTGGTGACTCTGACTGTAGTTTTTGGGAGTGAAAGTATAAGAGCACATAGTGTATTGAATATTTGATGTAACTAACTCTGCTTCACTATTCTTATATTCATTATCATCATTTTAGCTACATTATCAAGAGAAGTCTGTGGAAAATTTTACTTATCAAAGCTAGGTAACCACAGTTGACTGACAGCCATACATTTGAAAAATTTAAGTAATTGTTGTTTCATGAGTATATTTAAGAGTACATTTATTTGTTATCATATTATCATGTTATCATATTTAGGAGTACATTTATTTGTTATCTATCTATAAGTGACAGACAAGTTAGTTCTTTTAAATTTTTATATATTTTTGTAGGTTTTGTAGTTTTTTCCCCCACTTAAATTATGGAAGAAGAATGAACAACAGAAGTAAATTTGATAAAATATTCATTTCTAAAATGCTAATTCTCCAAACAGTGACTTTTATGCATCACAGGTAGACAAATTATCATCTACAGCTACAGCTAAATATTTGGGCCACATAATCAGCAATCAGTACTTTGCTGAGAAAAGTAAACAGTAAACATTTAAGCATTTAGTAGCTGTAAACAGCCGTCTGGAGAACACAAAGTGATGAAAAATTGATGGATTAATCTAATTAAGAATATAAAAATTGATATGAAATATATTTTTAAACAATCTAGGGTATGTTGGAAACTATAATACATACCACTGTCCACTACTGAACAGTGGCAAACACCTCCACCTCCACCATCTTTCCAACTTGTTGCACATAATGCCCTTTCTTCTTCTTTTCTCTCTCTACATATATCCCAGTCTTTTAGCCAGTGCAGAGGTCATATCAGCCAGCAGCACCTCCCTCATGTGGTCTTCTCTTCTCTGTAGCTCGTGGACAAAATGGCCCTTCAGCTCCATTACCTCCATCACACGCTCCACCAGCTGCCTGCGTGTAACACTTCTTTCCTCTGCAGGGCGGTCGGGACTATTATCCACCAGCTCAGGCCTCTGGCCACACAGTGCCACAGCCCTTTTCAGATTTCCAGCATCTGCATCAAGCAGCTGATCTAAAGTGTTCCTTCGACCCAGACGGTCTGTACGAGTGAGCACTGGGATAATGTACCTCTTGACTTCCACACCGAACAGTTCCATTGTGGCTTGGACTGCTTGGGCAGCATCCTGCTCAGCCCCCTTGGTGAAGTCTGGAGCACGCATCACCAGTAGAAAGGCATGTGGTCCGGGACTGGCGAGCTGGACACTCCTCAGAACTTCCAGTGCTCTCTCTTTGTTCCCTAGTGACGTCCCCAAAAGATCCGGGGTCTGAATTACTATGAGTTCACTACCATCTATAAAAGCCCTTTGCACAGTACTCTCCTTTAGAGGAACCCTTTTGGTGCTTCTCTCACTGTTGTTCATTAAAGTATCTGCTAAGGAAGTCCGTCCTCCACCAGGAAGCCCCAGGAGGACCAGCCTGAGACCTGGTTTCTTGGGAATGCTGCCGCCAGAGGGATCAAGCATTTGGTTCAGTAAGCTGCTAATGACTTGATCATTCTGTGAGTTCAAAGACCCGTCTCTGGATGAATCTACAGAGATAATACAATATTATTTTATAAATTAAAAAAAAGCCTTATGCGGTAAAGCTGTGATTCTAAATCAAAAAGAGCTCAATCTGATGATCTAAAATTTCATATTTTTTTTCATTTTCTCAGTTGGGAAATTTATAAGAAGAGCCTTAAGAACTTGTGTGGAATAACAATATTTGCTGCCAAAAACAATACAATACATGCCAAAGATGGTGATTCAGGAAAAGAGGGCATATCGTTGCCTCACTTACATACAGTCAGTGACATAAGAATGAATTTTGT